TCGGCTTTAAGGTTATCTAGCTGAGAGTGATAAATCCTATGTTCACTGAAAATACGATTAATCGTCTTATCCTCCTCAGCTTTTTTTGCTGGTTCGCAATAGATGGTATTTTTACTTACTTCAATGACATTTTTCTTCCTGTCCAGATAGCTTCTATAAAACATCGAAAAACACCCCACGTATACGATGTAAGAGAGTTCCTTCTTTCAGCAACGAAATTTTTTATCCAAGTCCAGGATGCTGATTATGAATTTTAATTCATTATCTTGATTTTAGCCTGTTACGCCACTGGAATGTTTGCGTACACTTTCATTTACCAGACTGTGGTTAGCGTTTTTTCGATACTCGAGCACATACTCGGTTATTAATGAATTACATGCTTTTTTTTATGGCACTGGAAAATATCTTTAGTGATATGCCACAAAACACATGAAATGCAACATTTTATGGTCTACTCAGTTCCATTATTCCACTCATATTAAATTAAATTTTAATCAAGATATTATTCCAAATATTGCAGGCCGATATAAATACGTCCGACACGTCCGACGGCTCGTGTTATATTGGGAGGTTTCTGAGATAAGGTGATGTATGAAGTTATATTGGCCACCCGGTACTGTAATCTTGAATAAAAAAAGTGATATTTCTCTGAATTTCCCTATATTAACCTGACAAAAAATACCTGAACTTTTTTGTTTGACAATTTTTACTGTATCTCTAAAAATAAATTGGTGGGGGGTATTCAAACGTTCCCGTTAAAAACACCCTGCATCTTCGAAACTGCTTAGCCGATTTTAACAAACTTGGGCTAGTTGAAACGAGCTATTCTTAGGCTACAAATGTTTAATGTTTGAATTTTTGCCAGCTTCACATGTGACCGCTAGAGGGCATTTTTGGAAATTACGACAGAAATGGTTAATTTTCTCAAAAAATTAAATTGATTGGTATGGTTTTTTTTTATAAAAAGGTAACTAAATGCTGTCTAAACAAGCTCGCGAAAACCGCATCTCGATATTTTGTTCCTAGCGTAACATTTAGGACAAAGAAAATTTTATACGGAAATCCCTTAAGTGTTTATTTTTATAAACTAATTTATCTGGAATTCTATTCATCAGAATATAATCACCCTTTGAAAATATCACAAAATATCGCGAAAATGTCAATAGTTTCACATTATTTTGAGCAATGTTTGTGCTTACGAACGATGAAGTTGTTTATTTTGAATGTCTCCAGAATGGCGCAGTAGCAAAAAGAGTAAATGCGACTCGATATTCAAATCGGCGTCTGCGTGAGTTTTTCCAAGATTAGTGGCGAGCTTACGAATCAATGGCAGTTTTCGGCCTACGTTTCAACGACAAAGAATTGGAAGTACTCAAGGAAATATTGGAGTAGGCACTTTCTTTTAATTACTGTCAGAATGCACCCACATCATGTCATTTTGAAAGAGAAAAACTTTGATCGGAGGTTGGACTATTGTCATTGGATGTTAGGTATGATACTCAAAAATTTCAAATTCTTTGGACCGATGAAGCCACCTTCAATAGTGACGGAAGAGTCAATCTTCACAATATGTATTATTGGTCTACAGAAAATCCGGCATAGGTTGCGTGATGTTCAGCACCAAAGGCGTTGGAATTTAAATGTGTGGTGTGGCATTCTGGGAGGCAGAATTATTGGGCCATATCTCTTAGAGCAATCCCTAAATGCCAATGTCTTTCTTAACTTTTTGAACAATCAATTACCTTTGTTGTTGCAAGTCGTGCCTCTAGAAACACGGAAAAGCTTGTTTTTGCAGTTGGATTTTGCTATTATTGTGCGATCATACTAATGCAGTATTTCAACAGCAGTGGATTGGAATAGAAAATCTGTTTCCATGGCCTTCGCGATCACCAGACTTAACTTGCCTTGATTTTTATTTATGGGGACGGTTAAAGGACATCGTGCTTCAGACTCAACCTACAGCCAGAGAAGATGTGAAAAACCGGATTCGTAATGCATAGGTGAAGCTGCAGTTTTGTCTATCTATGAGAGGCTTCAGGAATGCATAGTGTTATGGTCAGCATTTCGAGCATTTACGCGGGCATTAAAAACCTTTCTTTTTTAAGTCGGTGCTTTTTAGGTCCACAACTCAATAATAAAAAAAAAATTCCAGAAAAATTAGTTTAAAAAATAAAAATTTAAGGGATATTTGTATAATTTTTTTTAGATTTTTGATTAGAAACAGAAAGTTATCGAGATGCGGTTTTCACGAGCTTGTTTAAACATCATTCAGCTACTTTTTCATAAAAAAAATATTCATTTGAAAAAATTAACCACTTCTGTCGAAATGTCGAAAAAAGCATTCTAGCGGCCACATGTGAAACTAAGAAAATTTGAAATATTATAAGATTTGTAGCTTAATAATAATAATAATAATAAATCACCATTTCAAAGTAACAGTGCATGATTACTGTGTATTACACATTGTTAGGTGCAATATACGCCACAGCGTCGTCGAGACAAATAACAAAGAGGCAACGTATAACATAATACAGATTTTACATTTCAAAATATTCTTGAAGGTCATATGGTTCTAAGTGCATTAGTAATCGATAAATACTCTTGTTATATTCTTTTATATCCGATAATCTTTTAATTTCGCGTGGTAACTTATTATATATTTTAGTGCAGCTGCAATGGAAATTTTTTTCGGTAACCGTGAGATGTCTGGATACAGAAGATTTATATTTCTATTTCTTGTGTTATATCACTTCGTGGGTTACCGATAAAATTGTCAATATTTTTAAATGTAAAAATTAGAATCTCTTGAATATATATTGCGACAACGGTTAAATTTTATTACTCTTAAATTTTCCTCTGCAAGTCTCTATAGAGGAAATTTTTAGGATGCACCTTAGCACTCGCTGAGCGAAAAAAAAAACTTGCAATGGACTCCAAATTCGCGTTATATACCATTTTTAGTGTCTTAAGGTCTAGGTACTCGCTTAGTACTCTAATGCTATAACAAGCGTTGTTTAACCTTTATTCTAGATGTTCTATATGTTTAGCCCATGAAAGTGCTTGGTCCATAAAACTCCCAAGAATTTCTCACAGTCTGTCAGCGGGACTTCTATCCTTTCGGCTAAAGTGATGTTTGTATCTTAGATTTTTTTTCTTAGCTTAAAAGCAATCGCAATTGTTTCTGAAGTATTCAGGGATAATCCGTTACGAGCAAACCACAAAAACGCTTTTTCGCAGAGGCTCAAAGTACTTTCAACTAAATGGTTGAAATCTTGACCAGAGACCAGGACACTAGTGTCATCAGCGTATTGGATCGTGCATACATTATTTGGGCTTGTAATACTAGCACAACAATCAAAAAGAGGAGATGTCCTAAGACGCTACCTTGTGGAATACCTCGTTGTACCGTTAACTGTGATGAAACGGCTGATATTTGATTCTTTGTAATGGAAACTCTTTGCTTACGATCTGTCAGATAAGACTTAATCCAGTTGCAAGCACTTCCCCTTATCCCATACGCCTAGAGTGTATTCAATATAAGACAATGATCCACACAATCATAAGCTTTGGAGAGATCGAAAAATAGACCCAGTGATATATTATTTTCAAGGCATTCTATGATGTGGCTGAAAGAATAGATCGTGTTGATGGATATCTCTTTTACAAATCCATGTTGTGACTGTAATTAAGTTATTACAAACCATATGATGCATAATTCTTGAATACAACACTAACCCAAAAAGCTTTGCAAAACAAGAAAATAAGCTTATTGGCCTATAATTTAGCAAGTCACTAGGAGCTCCTTTTTCAAATATAGGTAAATTATGTCTAATTTAAGTTTTTCAGGCAAATTTGTTACAATCGGCTCAGCCGTTTCGAAGATTCGTGGTATTTTTACGGATACCTTTGAATACCCCCACCACTCTGTTTTTAGAGATACAGCAAAAATTGCCCAACAAAAAAGGTTCAGATTATCCTCGAATTTAAAGATCAGGTATTTTTTGTTAGAAACTTGTTCAGAAACTATAAAATATTTTCCAGGTTTTTCTCTTGGCCGTTTTGTCGCAAGCGTCTACGATGGATAGGTTTCCAGACACAGTACCTCGCATTCTTAGTTGGCCACCCTGTACATGACCAAGCGCAGCGCCACACGATGAACTGCGGCAAATGTTTTCTCGTACTGTAAAGAAAATTATAAAAATTTGGTATACTCAATGAGAGTAATTTGGTAGAACATTTTCATAATTGCGAGCATTTCATCATATTCGCGAGGTCCGCGATGTCAGAAATATTTCTGCTCGATACTTTCAATCTAAAAATAAACGGAGGTTAATGAGAATGATAGAACATTTAGTTGATTTGAGGTTAGGAACAATTTTTGTCTTTCAGACTGACAATCAAATTTTGATTTTGCCTGGCCTCAGTCTAGTTATAGAGACCATGCCGGTATTCCAATATCTGTCCGATAATCTTTCCCTTTTTGTCTTTTTCACGAGTATCCATTACCGTAGAATAACATCTGATTATCTAGTAATATTACAAAACTTCCCATACCGACAAGTGACACAGAGCCGTATTTCGTGGTGTTTTTTTGTTCGCTACGGATTTATTTTGTGCTTGTTAACAACTCTTTTATTTAGAGAAGTTCCTTCGGATACAATTTTTTATGTACACTTCGTATATTTTATTGTCAAAGTTCCCCGCCACTAAAATTATCTAGATGTGTGAACAACAGCCAATAAATACGAGCCTGAGTTTTACCAGATTTACACCCGATTCATTACTGCCAACGTAGCAGACTAATACAAAGAAGTCGCTTGTTGATCAGATGTTTATTTACCTCAGTAGACGTCAAAACGTAATGGATACTCGTGAAATATCATTAAATTTCCATATTTTCAAACACTGACTTTTCGAGAAGGCAATCTTTGCATCGTATATAAGGTTCCAAACTATGTACTTTATCTTAGATGTATGTCATAATACAAACTTATTTTTAGGTATGTATCAGGCGTTGCAGTAGCTGTGAAGCAAATTATGCCTGATTTAGTGATTATGAAAACTCCTCTGGGTAAAATAAGTAACAGAAACGTACCCCTGACTGTGTTTTTCCTCTCTGTGATCCTTAAAGTGATCGGACTTGTTGACGGAACCTATCCTACTATGTTTTTCAATGGACTTTTCGTTAGTTGGATTTACCTAAGGTTTTACCAGAAGCACAGCAATGGAACCAGAGGTGACATGGCGGATTATTTCACAATTGCTAGGTACGTTTGATATATTAATAGAGTTACACAATAAGGCGAATAAACGAAAGTATATACATATATTTACTAACGGTACAGCATACGAATAATTTCGGCATGATTTGTAATTTTGGAAGGTGAAAAATACGAAAAATTGTCTCAATTTGATATCAGCAATGGCGGCATAGTCTGATGTTGGAAAAAGTGTAGGACACCTTGGTTGAACACTACTCGTTTTTTCTAAACATTTGTCTATGTTGTGTCTGAGCTGAGCAGATCATAGGGTAAAAGCAAATACATAGTTGAACATTATACTGCCGTTATATTGTCACTATATTGATCCAATAAAAACATTTAGCAGTGATTAAACTTATTTCATACAATGGATTTTTTGGAACATGTCGAGGTTTCTTACTGTACTGTAATGTACTGAATGGGAGCTTCAAAACAGGGTATTATATGACCTCTACTCCAATAAAAGAAATGTTCCAAGATGGCACCCATCTCCAACTTGGATTTTTCAACTTCCATTCTTACATAGGCTAGTATAATCAAGTTTTTTTAGGAATTTATAACGTTTTTTTATTGACTAACTCCTATGCCACAGGGAAAGACGGTTGAAATTTGTTGCTTGTAAAGAATTTTGAGTATTTTTGGTTGAAAAAGGCGTTTGAAGATGGAAATTACGCTTGAAGGTTACCACTCCACCAGTGCAAGTGGAGCATGCCCAAACAAGCGTATCCAAGAGGCTAGAGGTACAGATAAATCAGGCAGAGACTTTGACTGCTGCATAAATATAAAATGCATGGACAAAGAGAAGCTGCACCAAATCATTGCAGACCTGTCAGCCCAAATTGGCGGACTGCAGGTTTGTTCGTACAGAGGTCGCTGACTTGTCGGTTACTGTGTCTGGGACCGGGCCGTGTGAATTCCATCTATATTGCGTAGCAGAGTGAACGGAATTTTTGTGGCAGGTTCTTGGACACGATAACTGACAGGTTGGTGACAGTTTTACGAACAGTGCTTATCTCGACAGTCTGAATGCCCACTGAAGTCGGGTTTATACAACCATTTAACAGTCATAGTAATAAGCGTAAACATAAGCATATTTACAGTTATAAGTTCTGGGCCTGTGTATACAGACAGATGATAGAGCAGACAGAAAATAAATTTAAGGGAGTTAATCTTGATTTTTTTTTGTTAAATAAATAAATAAAAAAATGGTACCGAGTAGGTTGACTCTGGCCTTCCCACGCAACGTTTTCTTCTGTTCATAAACGATTATGTTCGTCTCAAGTTAGTCCCTCTGAACTAGCTACAAACATGTATTACAGAAAAATTAAATGGATTAAGTCAGCCAAACAGGCTCATGCAATTAGTCCATATTCCATAGTCCCCACCTATTTGATGACGCTAATGCTAGTTTCCTCCCTGATTTAAGTATCGACCATGTGGCAAGAAACGCAGAAACGCAGACATTGCTGAATTAAAATAATTACACTTAGTTGTTTTTAATGATTTATTGGGTAGTTGAAAAATAAAAAAATATTGTAACACCCTGTATAGGCCACAGTTTGAGTTGTGTCATGTGTTGTTAAATTGTAGGTGAGGTGACAGTTTTGATACTTGGTGAGATGACTCTTGAGTCATAAGCTATAAGAGTTAAAAGTTACAAATTTAAAATGAGTATGCTTTTAAAAATTTGTGTAAATGCACGATTTTACTAATCCGGGGAGCATAATTTGCTCCTATGGCACAAATTCGACCAATGAGCAGGCGTTTTTAGAGGTTCCCAATATCCCGATTACTGCAGGGCTATTATTACGTAAAAAATCTATAAAACGGAAAAAGCGATAAAATGTCAACTTGCTGTCTAGATAGTTCCTGGTGTGCAAATACTGCATTCCAAGTTTGCTCGCTATGAGCGCTGTGAGTGACATCAAAAGCGTCCATCTATGGAGGAATGATTCAATGACACGACACGCTCATTGACCATGCAGCAAACTGCAAGCTCCAGCATCCTCTGAGAGGATGTGTGGTTGGGTCAGTTGAATAGCAGAGAAGCAAGTTCACATCTGGAGTTATCAACACCACAGATTATTAGCATACATATATTCACTAAGTACCTATGCATTGCCGTTTACTTCCAGCTGTAATATACAACTTATAGCTTAGATCTACGTCATACCCCTGTATATGATATGATAATGAGAATGGTATAGATGCTGCTCAAGTGGAGTGAACAAGTTACGTTCAGCAAGCTCTGCAGCATGCAACGACCCGGCAGTCCTTCAGACATTCGTCAGAAAATTTCTGACAAAAGGGCTGCAATTAAGCAAGCGAAAAGGACTTGCTTTGACTCCAGTCTTACGCACTGGAAAGTGGCGAAGTTGCTTAGAAACAGAAAGCGAGAACAACTCCCGGATATCCATGGTCCTGGGGGCATAGCCTTCGGGGCCGAGGAAAAGGTCGAGGTTTCCGCTGATGCCATGGAAAGATAGTTATCTCCCAACTATGAACTTGATAATGACCTCGACGAGGAGAAACATATCGTAAGACCCGCCACGAGATATTTTTTTTTGCAGCCAACGGCGTCAGTGATCGAAGCGCTACCATTAGTGATTCTTCCTCACGAGATTCTTCATGGGAAAATTCTTCAACTGAAGAGAACTAGCACATCAGCGGCATCTCCTGAGATCCCGCATTACGCGCCAGCGGAGCTTTTAGGTCATATTAGAGACCTCAAGGTGCGTAAAGCACCTGGGGAGGATCAAATCACTAATAAGACGCTTAAGCTGCCTTCGCGGAAGTACTTGACTTATCTCGAAGGCATGTTCATTAGTTCCTCAGGATTATCGCCCCATTAGCCTGCTGTCAGCTTCAAGGTGGTTGGAAGTGTGATTTTACCTCACCTTGAGAATTTCTTGTCAAATCACCATGTGATTTCCTGAGGTGCAATAAAATATGAACTTGCAGACTAGATAACTACTAGAGTGCAAATACTTCATTTCGATTTTGCTCCCTATGGACTAATGACTGAATGCTGAACGACCATGCTGTAAGTCTGTTCGCCAGCATGCTTTGTTGGTTGCAGAATGACGAGATAGTCTGTCGAGTATATCTTTGAGAAGATGTGACAAGGAAAATTGGTGGAGTAGCAGAATAGCAAGATCGCATCTGGATGAGTGTGTATATTGGTCTGCCTGTGTATAAAATCAGTGGTATTTGCTATGTGAAAAAATTACTGAGCATGCTGCTCATGAAGTATATATATATTAGCTGTACCAGGCGGGTTATTTGTGTTATTGCTTCTGAAGAGAAGTTATGTTCAAAGTTATAAATTACGTTTTACCCTTTTTTGTTTTCAAAATGTTTGAGAAACATTACCGAAAATCACCACCGCGCCCGCGTTGTGTGAAATTAAGCCACATCACAGAAAAATCAGGAATCACGCATCATACTCAAAACATAAAATAAATTTCTATAAAATTTAAATGACTGGAAATAAAAAATAGTGTAAAATGTAATAACCTTTTCAGGTTTCTTACATATTTGTGTCTGTAACCTATTTTCTCACCTGTTAGTTTTAATATACTTCACCAACCAAGATTTTTTTATCTCTCTCATTTTTGAAATTTAGTAAAGTTGCGTATGTAATTTCCTGGATAAAGCCTACATCTCAAGTAAGGGTATTTGAGACAAGAAACCAAGGAAATTATCTTCAACACAGTTTATTAGCACACAAATCCTCATTCCGTTTCCTTCTAGCTGTACTATGTACAAGTTACAGCTTAGACCTCCAATAATGCCATTTTTGAAGCAGATGTTACATCACATCAGAGCCAAACCATGATAGCTCAAGCGTCAACACGAACAGCTCCAGAGCGAGTTCAAATCGACTATTGTATATCAGCCAATATAGTAGAACCCCGATTATCGGAAATAATGTGGACCCAATTGCTTTCGGATAATCGAGATTTCGGATAAAACGGAAATAAATATTTAGACTCATAATGCTTTTATTGAAAAAAGTAAATCCGTGTGTTAAGTGAGTATATACCTATATAAAGTTACGTAAAATATAAACATGTGGATACAAACATACATATTTAAGAGTATTTAGTAAAAAAGGAAGTAATTTTTAACTGTACACGTTTTGCATTGTTCTTATTTTTGGCAGCAATATCTCTCCAAAGTTTGATAAGTAGCCCATCAGCTGCTGTCGCATTTTCTTGTTGTTCGACGTAAGTCAACGCCTTTTGTAGAGCTTCTAATCTCTCAGAATGTGATATTTTGGCAGATATTTCTGTCTCATTGTCACTAGCATCACTTAAAACTCTCATCCCTATTGTTACAAACAGTTTTATTAGTTCTGAATCAGTTAATTTTTCCACCAATTCATCATCATTGATCTACTCACCAACATCTGCTTGGGTAAGATTTTCACACCCTGCTATTTTTACGACGAGCTCATGTAAATTTTCGTTGTTATTCTCATAGTCTGCGCAAGGTTCCACTTCTTGCTTAATTAATTATTGTCGACCAAGATTTTTGTAAAGAATTTTTTACTTAGCTCCATGCTTCTGCTATCCAATATGCCATATTCTTCAGGTTAATCTGTTTTAAACAATCAAAGAGGTTACAAGCATTGCTTGATCTAAAATTTGCTCTAATAACAAACGTCTGTAATTGCGTTTTAAATTTTCTAAAACTGCTTGATCCATTGGCTGAATCAGTGACGTTACATTAGGAGGCAAAAACATCACTCATATTTCACCACTTTTAAGTTGCTCCTCACTTGGGAGGCTCGGATCATTGTCTAATAGCAAAATACATTTTCTCGGATATCCTCATTCATTCAAATATCGTCCTGTCTTGGGAACAAAATGATTGTAAAACCTGTCCTTAAATAGAGCGGCATCCATCGAGGCATTTTTCTGATTTTTATACCACACTGGAAGAGCGTTGGAAAGGACGTGTTTGAATGCTCTTGGTTCAGCTGATTTTCTGATTAACAACAAAGGAAGTTTGTGTGTACCGGAAGCATTGCTACAAGCAAGGATAATCACACGTTCTTTACTGCGTTTGTAACCAGGAGCTCTAGATTCTTGTTTGGAAGCTAAACTTTTCGCCGGTAACATTTTATAGTTTAGGAAATTGATAATGCACGTTCTCGATTCTGTGTAAATCACAGATACAAAGCATCATCCACTTTTTGATATTCCCCCTTTTTCATAGTTTTCCGAAACGAATGCGATGATCTCAGAAGACTAGACCACTTTTCAATTTTCTCGCGTTGTTTTTTCCATTCTGAAATGGTGCTCACGCCCACACCCAAATCACTTTCTACGTTTTTAAGCAAATCACCTCTATCTAAACGTCTGATTGCCTCTATGGTAATAACAACGCGTTAACGTTTATTTCTATGCTGCTCCATCGTAGCGATTATGAACCTGGCCGAAACAAACATACACGCACACATACCAGTGAATTTCGCAAACGCGCTTGGGAAATCACCGGTAGCGAATCTAATGACGCAAACGCCGAAAGGGGAACTACCGGCGGCTATTTCGGATCATACGCCGATTTCCCGAACAACTTCGGTTAAAATGGAAAAATTATGGTATGCGATGTGTTTCGGATAAAGCGGATTTCGGATAATCGCGATTCGGATAATCGGGGTTCAACTGTAATTACATTTTTAAAAGACAAACATCAAAAGAAGCGCATGAGAATAATGCTGAATAAAGATAAATATGTTTATACTCCAATTAGACAGTTGCTTAGCAAATTAAGGATCGTATCATCAGTCGTTCCTACAATTGTAGGACGCCTTTATGGCCTCCTTGATTTTCATAGTCTTTTCTTTCATTCAGAAAGGTTGGGATATTTCCAGATTTCTACTGCTCCCTGTCAGCGTCAGCGCTCTCCTATTATCACGCTATGTTTTATTCTTAAATTGTAGGAAATTTCAGGCTGTATAACAAATGATATAGATCAAAAGCGTGAGTAATTTGATGCAAATACGTATTTGTAACATAACCTCAAAATAGCGCGCTGACACGGAATAGTAGAAAGCTATGAAAATCAAGGAGGCCATAAAGGCGTCCTACAATTGTAGGAACGACTGACGATACGGGCCTAAAATGGCTCATTGTGAAAAATTTTATCAAATATCTTGTAATGATATCCATCATTTACAATTTTACATAATACCAGAAATAAAGATGACTTCCATTTAATGTCCAATACATGTTACAAATCTGTATTTTATCAAGGATTGATTGAGTATAATAAATTAAACTCAAGAAAATGGATTTCATTGTTAATAAAAGTGAAATACAACCAACCAATATATGCACCTTACCGGCTTTTTGTTACGTCCATTAATTTCAGTTTGTCAATTTCACAACAGCCTTCTCGATATTTCGTATTTGTAAAATCAGTTGTGTCTTACTGCTAAAACTAGATATGTTTATTGTTTATTTTAGTTTCTTCCCAAACGTCATCCAGCCTCCAATAGCTATGATAAGCAATTCGATATACTCTGGACTGGTGAAGATAGGCTTATGCAGGAAAGTAGTGAGGAAGTATGATGTTGCAAATCCAGTAGGTGTTACTATATCGATTCCAAGTACCAGCAACAGCGGCAATACAGACCATCATGATACTGAGAGAAGAAGGTATGTTGTATAATTGATGTGTTTAAATTCTACGTTTTAACCTCTACTATTGAAATCACTTGTTTGAAAACAGTGACAATGGGAGCGATGTCCAGTTTTGCTCCCGCTTGTGTGGTTAGAGGACTTATTGTCAAATGAAGACGGTAAAAAGACATTATTTGACAGAAAGGTAGACATTTTCACAATTTCAGCAGGTTTTTGACACCTATTCACATAAACAACAGCTCAGCAATTGGAATCTTTAAGTTGTTTCAAGTGAATGACCTGTAATTTCGACTTAGGATTGGCCATCGTTGTTATTGACCAATACCGTATAAGCGGATTTGGTCATTAATGTGTGACGTCATAAAGTAGCCCTTATACACCACCGTTTGACATTTCAAATCACCGTGGTTGCCCTAGAGTTGTTTTTATCCCCTTCACATGCAACTTGTCATTTGTCATCGTCTAAAATTCAAACAAACGACGCTCTCTGAGGTCGGGGGTCCTAATATTTTAGCTTTTACATGTTTTTCTATTATAAATCGAACATTTTGGAATCCTCTGATGTATTTTTCTGGAGTAAATATTGTTTAAATCTGTGAGTCATTAAGGCATTCGACTACTTTTTTCAGTCATTGAATCTTCTTGCAAAATTATTCTCCATATTGTGGTAGGTAATGTCTCCAGTGGCTAACAGTTTGTTTTTCAGCAGGAGTAGCTCGCTTTTTCTCATTTTTTTTAATAAGGTTATTTTTCAAATTTCAACAACAAAAACATATTCCTGCACACTTATCACTCCAAAAGAAACATATTTTGACAGCAATGACTTTTGACAGTATGGGCTCGACCAACTGATTTTAAGCGCATCGTTTTTGTCATTTTTTGATGTAAAGGTATCTGACTCGGGGATGACCTAGGGCATAACCCAGGTATTTACAAATCGTTCGCTTGAATCAGCTTTTTGTCTGTTTATAACCTTAGACATGACCTCCAACCTAACTAGCGCCATCTATTTCTAGCTTTCCAGATTATCCCTCATTCGTTTTTGCAAAAATAATATTGAAAAAAAGGCGAAACCAATCTGCATAACGTTCGAAACTTTTTAAGACCGTACTGAGGTCGACGGTAAAGTACGAAAATATTAATGTAGCTTTAAACTTACTTACGTTTAAATGCTAAAGTTAATTGCTGTATTTCAACAGACACAAATGTGATTCACGTATATTGACTTAGTTTTTCAACGCACATAAAGGTCTTTCACTTTCATATAGTGTTAATCAACCGATACCGACACGGCATGACTACGGTTATAAGAACACTTGAAAGCCTCTTGCTAGTCAGCTTTTCGATTTTTTATTATCCATTGTTGATATCCCACTATAGGCTTAAATAATTTCTATTGTTGAGTGAAGAATGAGACGTGTAACCTCAGCATAAGTCTCATCTTGTCTGGTTTGGACGCATTATTAATTTGTCAAGTCTGACCGATTCAAGTTGTACTCATGACGCAGGACCGAACCGCTGTCTCAGAACTGATGTATCCTAGTTGCGCATGTTTCTTCCAAAGAAAATAAAAGTAAGTGAAATATAGAGGTCGCGTAATTAGCTGTTTAAGATGCACGCAAACAATGCGTTTATAAAGCCTAAATGTCAGGACACCGCGGCTGCTAAGAGGAGCTTAAACTTTGTTAATCCAATTTTTAAATTGCCAAATTAGGTTAGCAGAACTGGGAAAAGCTTCCTCATGTAGATTGTTCCTCATTCCCGATACCTTGGGACAAAGGAGCGGTCGTATCGGCCAGTTCTGGATGTACGAAGTTTGACACGGTTAGGAAGGCAAGCTGAAGTTAGGCTGGTTTATCTGGCAGGCACCTCGCGTCGCGGTATCATGGCGAGCTCTGATGGGCCTTGTACAGAGTGAGAATTACTTCTTAGCTCTAAACAAATAGCCTAGCTTTTTCCTAGCAGAGCTGCCGCTATTGACGAGGTGTTCGTGCCAGTTCAAATCGGTGATCTGGACCCCGACCAGCCAAAATAAACGGCTCTTTAGCAGAACTCGGCCATCCATCGAAACCGGATGAGCGCTAGGACGCTTCTTGTTCGTCAAGATACAGTGATTGCCTCCAGGTCTCTCGTCAGAAAGGAAGTCACTGCTAGTCTTCTTTTCTCCAGCTCACCAGCAGAGATCGGCTTGCCACTCTGAATTCCTGCATGTAGAGTGCTGCCATCAGCAAATCTGTGGATTGGATGGACCACACGGGAAATGAGGTCGATGATATGTAAGAGGAACAATGTCGGAACCAAGACGGATCCCTGGGGAACACCCGTGTTGACATTGTGGGTTAAAGAGGAGAACCCGTCATTTACGACGAATATCATGCGGCCAGAAAGGAAGTCATCCACCCATCTGCAAATCTTCCCGAGGAAGCCATAGGATGGAAGTTGGTATAGGAGTGCGGCCGGGCACAGCTGATCAAACGCATTCGTGATATCAAGAGCAACGACATGACCTTCACCATAAGACTGGATGAGCTTACAACACAGTCACATGCAGGTACACTAGGAGGTCCCCTGAGGATCACTTGTGCCGTAAACCATACTTCCCGTAGCTATAATAAAGCCGTGACGTTCTGGTACTCCAGGAGCTCCCGATTTGTGCACCTCCCCATCACCTTACTTCTAACAGAAAGCAGAGTCTTAGATACTTTTTTTGGGATGTGTTGGACATGAGCTAATTCCCAGTTGTCTGTGAAAGTGCCGGAGTCGTACGATATCTGGAAGAGACGCGAAAGAACTGGATCAAGTTCACCTGCACAACTCTTTAGTACAACGGCAGGAATCAAGTCCGGGCCAGACGCTTTGCTGATGTTGAGCGACAAGAGCACCCGTGTTACGGTCTTATGCCTGAACGTTACTTGCTGCATGGTGTAGGGAACCCTTTGAACCAACAGCACTCGGGCGTTGGTGGAGTGGGCAGCAAAGATCCTGCCAAGTACCACCTTAGACTTTGAGTCGGTTTACAATTTTTCATCTGCTGGGCTAGCATCCAGAAAGACCGAAAAGCTGTTGTGTTGCGACATTACCCTATGCCTAATTGTTACATCGTGCTGGTCTTTGCCATTGCGGACTGCTTTGCTATATTTGTATATGGACTCGACGTCGACTTGTATGTTTTCTACCGTGGGGTTTTGTAAAAAGGTTCTGTGAGCCTTGATTTTCGGCAGACGAGGAGTATCGCACGATTTGTTGAACCAGCCGTTGGACCCTGGTTTAGGCACTTTCGCTGTATGAGAGATGTATTCCTCCATTCCAACGTGGATAATTTAATTTAATTGATGAACAGACAGTGGATGCATCCGGCTCAACGAAACAAACATCTCTCCAAGGAAAAGTAGAGTACAAATCTGTAAGCCTTGCCCAGTTGGCATGTCCGTAATGCCAAATTTTTCGGCCTGGACCTCTATTCTTCAGCTTGAGGGAGTAAACATTGTGAGAGAAAGTGGCAAAAAGTGGGTGTGGCCAAGAAATCAATTCTACCGAAAAGTGATAGAAATGAATTCACTCTAGGGAGTCGCGATTTCTCTTGGTACCAACCAAGAGAAACTGGTTGTAGAAAATGGCGCTATATAACCTAAAAATTGCGTGTTTCATTCTTATTGTCGTTCCTGCTAAACATATTGCAAAAAATGGATAATTTCAATCAATTGATGTATCGGGACGATATTATTAACGAGGATGTAGAGGAGGCAGTTGAGGAATGGGAGATTGGGACAGCTATTCTTGAGCACCGAGATCCTTTCATAATTTCGTATCGAAAATTTGTAAAGATTCTTAGGTTGACCAAAGATTTGGTGTATGAATTGCTGGAGATATTGACTTCATCCATACAACCACCCCCACGAGCTTCTGCACTTTCGATCACAACAAAGACAAGATTAAATATTATGTTTTAGTCATTCTAAAACAGTATCCTTTAATCTATGATTGAATTTTCCCTGGTGCATTTGGGGGTGCTCTCGGAGAAATTCAATCATTTTGTCCTTTTGTACATTTGTAATGTTTTCGGCTCCATAGATAAAATTATAAGGAGAAAATCTTGACCAAAATCTTTGGTTAGCTTTTGTCTGTCAAAATTATCTCCATTTTGATTGGTTTAACACGTTTACTCAAACCTGGCAACCCTGTGTCTAGATTTCCTTTCTCCTTCCTATCGAGTCATTTCAAGAATACAGTATTTTTGAATCGATAGTAAACCGGGGGAGTAGAAAAAGAGAGGGAGTGTGATTTTCCATTAAAGTCAAGAATAGGGGCTCTGGGCGACTTTCTACTGCCACAGCCGGTTCTGACCGAAACCTTGGTCTGAGTTACGCAGGTGACATAGGACAGCACTTCTGTAAGGGACAGGATGCGTGGCTAGACAGAGAGATCCAGTAGACTACTGGCGTGTGTCGAAACGCGGGGGAAAAAGTAGGACTCGTTCCCAGCTGTGTCAGACCTTGGGTAATAGCGAATGCTCTAACAACGCGACCTGCTGCATCGGTCTTGTTTGAACCCAACCAGAGCTTATTATGGGCTTAGCCACAATAGACAAAAGAATCGCAGCGGAGGATCGTTATTGATGCACTCACAAGAAACCTAACCTATTATGGGCTTGAATCTTTCTCTTGAAATAACGAATATAATTAGTATACGTGGTAGATTTAAAGTATTGCTACTCGAAATATTTAACGCATTTTACACAACTTGCGCATAGCATTAAAATGTTTGAAAACAACACAACTCATTTTTGAAGCCGAACGTGATGTTTATGCTTGATAACTTGTCGTGACACCATTTCCAGCTTCACCGAATTGTATTGGAACTTAGGATATCTTTAGAACCAATTCTCGAACGTCAGTACCGACGAGGCACGCTTTCTGCAATACTGCTTTGAAATTATCCCCCAAAAGTTTTTTCTCTGCTCACTTACCTGAGAAGTCATAATTATTGGCCGCAATCCTCCAATAAGAAGCAAATTTTCTCTCCGTAGCTAAATAATGATAATTAAAGAGCACCTAGGTAAATAATCATTCAGACTTAAAACTGCTATCTACAAAATTTTATCATGTCATTTTCGGAAATGATTGAGAAATATAATAATAACAATTTATACAGATCAATTACACATTGTGAACAAATGCATATGCCACAAAAGGAAAATATCCTTGTATGTGGATATCATGCTAACACAACATACATAAGATAACATAACAGTTATAAACTGATAGGACTAAAAAAATCTATATAAGTGTAATATGTACATTAATTTTGGATCGTAAACTGACAATGAAGAAAAGATGTGTTTTTTTATAAATTACATCATTATTATCAGTTTTCAAAAGCCACTCATATACATCTATTTTTAATAATTTTGGTAAGTTATGTTATAATTTTGGACCTAAGTATATAAAAGATTTGATATAACATCTTTAATTGAGTTTAATTGAAAATTTGTATGTAGTGTCTGACTTTATATAATAGAAATATAAGTTTCTTTTTAATGTAACTGTGAATCAGATATTAATTTGAATTTATCAATAAACTGATCAGGTCGTACTTTCAGGATTTTTTCAAATATCTTCGCCAAATTTGTTATTACAGAAATTGGTCTACAGTTATTTAATTCTGATTGATCTCCACTTTTATGTACTGGTGAAATTAAAGCCGTTTTGAATGCACTGGGATAATTACCAGTTTTAAAAATCCAATTTATTATGAATGTAAGAGGTTTAGTTATATATATATATATATATATATATATATATATATATATATAGGTGAAAAATTAAAGCTTCCGCCTTTTGTTGGGTACTTCGACAAAATTTAAGCAAAGAGGACTCTTTATACTTTTTTTAATTCTCTCTAGCTTTCAATGGACTTTGCCATCATCATCAGGAGCTGCAATTACAATGATAACAGTAGCAACAAAGGTGTAAAATGAATTTAAATTGACTCAACTTACAGTAGTATGTGAGGATGTTGCTAATTGTTGTTTACGTATAGGATGAGGGAAACGTCCAGTAACATGGTGAGAGCTGGATAGATTGTACAGTAGTCAAACTTATATAAAATATGACAAGAACAAGTTAAAAACAGTTTAAAAATTATTTAAAAAATTTTTCAGAGAATTCAACAGCTATGACCCCTACATCCAATTTACCATTGAAAAAGAAGATGAGAACCTGTCTGTCCCCTTTCTAGACACAAGACTCATTCGCACCAACAACAACAGTTTATTGGTAGACTGGTACCAGAAACCTATGGTCGGTTTCTCAATTTTAGGTCATACCATAAGCTAGGGATTAAAATCAATTTGGTAAAACAGATGAAAACAAGGGTAATCAGCATCTCAGATAATACCTTCCACACCTCAAATTTACGTAAACTATCAAAACTGTTCATCAATAATGGTTATCCGAAGTGTCTGATTAACAAGATCATTTTTAGTTCACCTTCCAATATTTTGCCGAACTCTGGTGATGCAGGTAATAGTCGCACAACCCCTAATAACGGAACTGATGTAATTCCCAATAATAACATCAATCCTAACAGTACAAGCACCAACCCGGACTCCAGACCTGGTTTTGCTGTCCTGCCCTACATCAAAGAACTGACCCCTAAGCTGATCAGATTGTGCAGTCCTTTGAACTTTCGAATTGCTTGCAAATCCGTCCTCACTATAAACTGCATTTTTTCAAAAATGTAAGACAAAGTCCCGCTGCTTGGCTTAACCAACACAGTCTACTCCATCAATTGCAACAACTGCAACCAAATATACATAGGTCAGACCTCCAGATCTCTGAAAGGAAGGATTACATCACACAAAAGTGATGCTAGGCTTCATCCTGAAAGATGCGCTCTAGCATCTCATGTTAACACAACAGGGCATTCTATGAATTACACAAGTATCAAAGTTCTTGATAAAGAAAAACACCTTTCCAAACGTTTATTCCTGGAAATGTCCCACATCTTCATGAATAACAACTGTATCAACAAAAAGACAGATGTTAAACAACTGAGTGTCATTTACTCATATTTGCTAAATTGCGAAAAATTGGAGAACTTACATATCTCCCCAAATTTCAACTCTTCACAACCATAATTAGAATCTGTGTTTTGGCCGATTCCACCAGTAAATTTCATTCCACTCAAAATATAATAATTCTCTCCTCACGATTTATTAATAATTGTTAATTTAAATTCCCATTAATAATAATATAGTTTATTCAACTGCCTCTGGTCGGTTTAACAAATTCTAACATAAAATTCTGAAAATCTCATCATCTGAAGTAATTTGGCAACGTTTTGGCTCACGCCCACAATTCGTTCCATCTTTCAATACTAACATTGACATCCTTCGGCCTTCTGTCAAAGGGTTTCATGTCACTCATCATTCCATGACCACTAATTTGTGCAATCATCAAGTGGCTTCACGATGTAATGCTCTAATTTTTTAAATAATTTTTAATCTGTTTTTAACTTGTTCTTGTCATATTTTATATAAGTTTGACTACTGTACAATCTATCCAGCTCTCACCATGTTACTGGACGTTTCCCTCATCCTATACGTAAACAACAATTAGCAACATCCTCACATACTACTGTAAGTTGAGTCAATTTAAATTCATTTTACACCTTTGTTGCTACTGTTATCATTGTAATTGCAGCTCCTGATGATGATGGCAAAGTCCATTGAAAGCTAGAGAGAATTAAAAAAAGTATAAAGAGTCCTCTTTGCTTAAATTTTGTCGAAGTACCCAACAAAAGGCGGAAGCTTTAATTTTTCACCTAACTGGTCTAGACGACAATGACCACGTCTCAAGTTATATATATATATATATATACAATATATATATATATATATATATAGCTATAATTTCTGCTCTTACATTGTCATAACCTGGCGATTTTTTGTTTTTTAAGTTTATTATAGTTCGTTTTAATCAGTATTCTTTAGCTAGAATGAATTTGATGTATATTTTTTCTGTAGAGACTCACTATTCGTTGAATTTTTTGAATTTTATTCCTGATTGTCTCACCTATATTAGAAAAATATTTTACAAATATGTTTGCAATTTCTTGTTTTGGTTTAAATATATGATTCTGTTCATCTTTTATGAAGCTAATTGTGGTATCTTTCTTTTTTGTTTCCGTTTTTCTTTCAAGACATTCCATACTGATGTAGAATTGTTTCCATTTTCACTAATCTTTTTTTGGATATAATTTTTGATTTGTTCAGTCAGATTATGTGTAGTTTTTTATAATTATTTATGTTTTCTATTGTAGGGTTACTAATCATTCTTTTATAAATTTTGTCTTCCTTTTCCATTTCTTTCAGGACGTCATTGTTGATCCAGTTTTTCTTTTAATTCTGCACCTTTTTAGTTTAATTCCATTGGTGCTTATATTAACATAATATTGAATTTTTTCTATGAAGGTATTGGTAGCTATCTCTATGTTTTCAGCATTTAATATATCAAAGCATATTTCGTTAGTAATGTTGTTTATTAGCTTTGTTTTATCTAAATGATCTTAGGTATAGCTTCTCGCTCATCGTCTAATTTTTTTTGAATATACCAATAATCTGCATAAACGTCTTTTAATATTTACGGAAGAAAACCAGAATCAACCAATATTTGCACGGTACTCTACTTGACTACTCCGTTGTCTTCATCAATTTGAGTTAGTCAGTTTTTTCAATAATAGTTCACTTCTCAACCTAGGTATTTTACGATGCCCGGGTCCTTGAGAGCTTCGCTCATGATTTCGGTTTAGCACGTATTAGCTTCCGAAATATTCAGTCAAGGGTCCAGTAAACGAAATAACTAAATGAGCTTTTATTTTTTTTTGCAGGCAAATTGCTCTGAAAGCACTGAGTGAGAGACTGTCCAAGTCACACGTTGGAGTTAAATCTGTACCCCTGACTAAGCATGGCAAACACAGTTCCAAAGTTCTCGAATCTTCGACTCCGCGCTCCTCTGATCACACTCCGTTCCAGCCGCAGTTCACGCAACAGCAGCCCCATTATCAGCAGAAAAATCCATCGCCGACCGATGAGGGTGGCGGCGATGAAAGCACGCCATTGGTTCAAAATGTCTGAAACCATAAAACATTGTTATATTTATACCAGAGTGATTTATAAATATTGTTGATAAAACATGACAATGGGGGCATCGACAGAAGGAGACGTATCATTGGATTATAGATAAGTAACATGTAAAAACCTAAGAGTAAGGAAGATGCAATAATATCATTTATGGAAAATATGTGGATAAGACGTTAAAAAATATTAAAGATGGGTCACTCCGATCTTTTTATTTTAGCGGTATGTACCTGAGATTGCCGATCATCATCATTGACATCACTACTGTGACATTTGAAGTTATGATCAATTTATGAAACAGAAAATAACGGCTGGTCGATGAGAGAAACTGATGATGACAGATAACAGGAGTGATGCCATGGCATCTGTTTAGTATGAAAATTCAAATTGTCAGCCTTAAACAGTATACCCTTCAAATAAAATACCGCATCTTCCTTATTAAAATATAAGGAATTAATATACTTTGGATATTAAAAGCTAAAAAGTCGTAAGCTGTATAAGATCTGGCTTAGTGATATGACTATATGAAATATTTTTCTATGCTTGAATCTAAATTACATAAGTGTTATTTAGTTAGATATTGATGTAAAAATATCTGTCACATAGTTTAATTTGAAATTTGTAACAACCTAAGCCTTGCATGAGATTTTTCAATACTCAAGGGAAAAGGAAATTTCCAAGGTCTAATAGGGAATACGCATGTATTTTTTTCGTATTTTCTGTCGATTTTTTACGTTAATAGCATAAATACACCATTCATTCACGGAAACGTCTGCATTTTTCAAATTAAACAATTAAAAGTGCAATATCAATGTCTTTAATTTACAGGTCGTATTTTTTGCACTTCGCAGTGACGTCACAATTCATTGTTTGTCATTTTATTCTATTAACACGTTGACTGCCACGCTGGTCCCATGGGACCAGCTTTAATAACTTGCCTCGAGCCGCGCTGGTCCTATGAGACCAGCAGACTTTCACTTGGATATGGAGCCGCTGGCCGGTTTTATAATGTAATAATGTTGTTTAGGGGACCAGCACGGCTTCATAGAAGATATCTATAAGCATGGTTTTTTAATTTTAATTTTTTTTAGTTCTGTGGTCCCATTAGAAAATACTACGAATCAATATTAGCAGTAAGTATGTATTTTAAACTAAAGTAACTTACAAAGCATTGTATACAATAAGTAAAATATAAAAACTGGACAAATATTTAACTAAGTCTGACTACCCTTGATGTATTTCATTGAAACAATTCAAACATAAAAATGGTTTTCTCTCGCAATCCTCGCAGTAGGTGTCTACTTTGAGTGTACGATTGGTAGCATATTTCCTACCATGAAGCTCGTTATTTTTTTTATAACAATGCTTACAACATCTTCTTGTTTTATGCTTATTTTCGCCATCTTTTCGTTTTAGAGAATGGTGTCGTCGTCTTTTTGCCGGTAGTTCATGGTCAATGTTCTCGTTGTTAGCAGTATTTATAAGATATCTTATGACTTCCTTTTTAAACTGCGTAATCTTGATATTACATCCGGTAACATTCTTATATAATATAAAAGCATTTACCATGGAAGTTGTAAGCAAAAGCTCAAATGCGATTTTGCGATACCATTTGACAGATCTTCGAAGAGGATTAGAATACGATCCCATTTGATCAGAGAGATCCACAGAACTTTTTCCGCTATTGTAATCGATGACGACTTTAGGTATTCTGTTGTTACTTCTCTCTACCATTTCAGCATCATGCTTTGTAGACAGTACAAGCACATCCCTTTGGTCTTTCCACTTCAATAATGTTATCCCATCTTTGTTCTCCATGGCCGCAACTTCTCCATTTTTAAGTTTTTTGTCTACAACTTCCTTTGGTAGCCCCTTGCGGTTTTTGCGTATCGTGCCAATGAGGTGTGTATTAGAATCAAGCATCCTTTTAGCTAAAGGTAAACTCGTATACCAATTGTCTGTTACTAAGGTTCTGCCGAGACCTATAATATCTTGGGTAAGAAATGTTACAATACCTTCTGGAGTTATTCGTTCGCCATTTTCTTTGCCTGCGTAAATTTTGATATTATATGTGTATCCTGTTCCTGAACACAACTTAAATAATTTGATGCGATACTTGTGTCTAATCGATTTTATGTATTGTTTTATAGACAATCTTCCTCTGTAAGGCAACATAGTCTCATCAACACATATATATTCTTCAAGTGTATAAAGATCTTTATAATTCTTCAGGAGTTTGTCTAGCAAAGGTTTTATTTTAGCAAGCTTATCACCAGCGATAGCTTGATTGTTGTCTGCAAAATGAATTGTTCGAAGTAAAATTTCAAATCGATTACGGCTGAATACAGAACGAGGAAAACTAAAGTTGAATAATGGATCCGTTGACCAGTAATCAGCCAATGTAGGTGCTTTGACCATTCCCATCCAGGCCACTAGCCCTAAGAAATGTTTGATTTCTGTTTTATTTGTTGGTACCCAATTATGGTAGCGGGAATTGTCACTTGCATCCGTTTCAAGTAAGAGACAACTAGAATAATGTTTTCATTCATTTGTTTCATCCGCAATATATGAGAAAATCGAATCGTCTACAACAGCTTCATAGAATTGTCCTGGACTTGCATTTGCTAGTAAAGCGGCAACTTCTGGTTTTATTCCAGATGACTGGGTATAGGTTGGAATGGCTTTGTAAATTCTTGCGGTTGGCCCCCATCCCTCACCATATGTTGAAACAGTAGGCACCGGCGCCGGCATTTCCAATGAAGCAGACTTCCCCAAACTTTCAGCTTCAGGTTCGTTTTGGTTAGTTTGGGTTACAGATTCAGGTGCACGACTCGTGCTGGCTCCATTACATGATGGAATCCGTAACCTTTGTGTCCTTTTACTTGCTCTCGATAAGTCACCAATATCATCGTCCGAGTCGGTTTCTGAAGAATCCGATGGTTGATATGAATCACTGTCAGAGCCTGGAAAAGGTTCTATGAATGACTCGTCTGAATCAGAATCCCAAATCGTGTTCACAAGCTCTTCTAACTCTTTTTGCGTCAGGGGTCTATTAGACATCTGAAATAATATCACAAATTCACAGTATACAAAAAACTGTAGTATACTACCTCTTACCTTATCGCAGAAATACTCTAAACTACTAAAACCGCTAAAAAAGATGTCAGCAAGCAACACCTGGTACAAGAAGCAAGTATAACCTATAAATTTGCCGAACGGTATTGCCGCTCAAACTAACGTCAAGGGACCAGCGGCGCTACGAAAGAATATTACTAGATTTTTGTCAACAGGGGCCACGCTGGTCCCATGGGACCAGCATGAAAAAACCACAAAAAAAATATAAAAATGAATGATATTTTAATTTTGATTGCATGGGAAGTTAAATCTAAGTCCAATAAATGTATTTCTTCTCTTGGCCCCACAGAGGTAAACAAGTTTTTTTGCTTGACAGTCAACGTGTTAAAGGCGACCTTTCAGTTATTTAATCTGGTTTAACCAATAATCAGGGAACAAAAGTGGTGATAATTTACGGTTATTATGACTTTTTGACTGTGGAGAGACGTGAAGAGCGAACTTATGGCGTTTAATAGTAGGAAAAGGTAGTTACAGACAGTTACTAATGCTGACCTCAGAGTTTGTTTGATAAAACTGAAGCTAGTTTCCCTGGTATCATACGACTACTCACGGACCTCATATACTCCTAAGCCACCCTTTAAAGGACCAAGTTAGTTATATGAAGAAGAAAAATGAACCACTCGGTTGTTACGCAAGGTGTGTCTATGCGCGGAAAACTTAAATCTTTTATATTGTTTGTTTTTTAATGAGGCTATGAGCTTGGCTACTCGTCAAATAATGATTTCAATGCAACTAGTTTTGTTGATAGAACGAAGATTTTTTATTGTATTTGAAACTATTACAATAAGAGATCATGAAATACAATGATTCCATTTATTCTTACGTATAAGTATTTCCATGTACGCTATACAATCTAAAATACAAATTCAAGTAAAAGGTGAAGTTTAACGAGTTACGAGTTAATTATTTTCACGAGTTCCCACATTTGCGTTGGAAGTTTTAGCAATGATATTTCAAAATCTCTCCTAAGGTTCATAACTGCTCTTATTTTCTACTTGAATCTCTTCCATTTTTTTCTAATGTCCGAGTTCTTGAGACTTTTTACGTTTCTCCGATTTTAAAATGGTTGTGAATGAACTGTTTAAGCTACCTGCTTCCTTAACACGTTGACTGCCTTTTTTCGGTTGGTTTTACCCAGGAGCCAATTAGTTGTATAATGGTTAATTTGTTATTTTGGTAGTAAAATTACCAAAAAATGCAAAATTCAAATTTTCGCCGATGACACTATGATTTATATAAGTACTAAAAATATTCAGTCTGGTATCTCTTATATAAATGAAGACTTGAAGCTTGTCTCAAAATGGTTAGCATCTAACAGACTAAAATTAAATGCAAGTAAAACGAAAGCCTTGTTAATCGGAAAAAAACAATGTACAAATGTTCAACTGAATATTGATGGTGAAGATATTGAATTCGTAGAAAATTTTAAATACCTGGGGGTTTTTGTTGACTCTCGATTAATTTTTGATATTCATTATGAAAAAGTTATAAATAAGATTAGTAGTAAAGTGGGATATTTATCGAGAGTTTCTGGATGTCTGAGTTCATATAGCAGACAAATTATCTATAATACCATCATTCTTCCAAATTTCTTGTACTGTTCGACTATTCTATATTTAGCAAATAATTCCATTTTTGAAAGACTGCAAATTTTACAAAATAAGTGCATGAGAATAATACTAAATAAAGATAAATATACTCCAATTAGGCGAATGCTTAGCAAATTAAAATGGCTCAATGTAAAAAATTTTATCAAATATCTTGTAATGATATTCATTTATAAAGTAAAAAATAATATATTTCCATCAAGTCTAACTAATTTAACATCATCAAATGTCGACCATCATTTACATAATACCAGAAATAAAGATGACTTCCATTTAATGACCAAAAAGTATAACATATGCTACAAATCTGTATTCCATCAAGGGTTGATTGAATATAATAAATTATACTCGGAGATAAAAGACCAGAAAACTTTGACAACAAAATTTAAAGTAAAATTGAGAAATCACTTGTTAAATCTACAATTATAGGTTGCCCAGCATTTACATCATACACCATATGGCTTGAATTTACTAGTTCTAAGTTGTTTACAATTGTTCTGTTTATGTAGCCAAATGTGCTAAATAAATCTTTCTACTACTACTACTAACTCGGTTATTGAGGCACTGACTTACAAATCCGTTCCTTGAGTGCCAGCTGGCGCTTATAAAACAATCCTAATTAAAAAACATAACTCAAACGTAATAAAATCTAATAAAAACTACAAAATTAAAAAATGTTAAGGGCATTGAAAAAATATACATATATAAAATATATAATATAAACAAATATTATTCGTCAAAAAAGCTTCTTTTTAGTGAACGCTCAAAAAATAGTAAAGAACATATAAAAGTATAACAGAAAATTTTCCGGTAAATAATACACCTAATGTGATAAAATCTAATCGAAAATAAGAAATGAAACAACTTTATTTTAGAACACAAACATGAATTTGTGGTGAATAAAGACTATTTTTAGTGCAAAAAAATTATATGTGAATAATGTCACAGCACTCTAAGTAGAATCCAGGAACACCAGGCATGTTCTACATTCGTACATCGTTTGGGTACGGATTCCCTTCTTGCTACAAGACAATCCATTCCCTTCTGCATACCTAGAAATAGTTTGGCCCTTCTCAAGTCTTGCAGTTTTGACATCTTGGGGAGTATTTTTTCTATGCAATCTCAAAGTTCCCGTATCATGGGTTCCTTAATCTAAGAGTGTCTTTGCAAGTTCAAAACTATGATAATAGTCGTCCATATAAATATGATGTCCAACATTCAATTTATTTTCCATCAAGTGCAAGATAAGTTTTTTTAGCATGGCCCCGACCCCCGATTTCATCGAGCATTTCTGTATAGACAGCAAACTTTTGTCTGACACCTGTAAAAGTCGTTATCGTGTAAAATTTAATTCCATATTTATGTTTTTTATTATTGATGTATTGGTGGAATGACTAGTCCAAGGAGAGTTGCTGACAAGGATAATATAATTCAGCCATTCTTTTATTGAAAAAATATATAACGGCCCTGATTTTATATAGCCTGTCTTCTGGTTTTGGTTTTGGATTACTTGAAAAATGCGGTGAACGCAATATGATTAAAAAATGATTGCGTTTTATACTATTTGCTATCCCGTTGAAGGATCTTTTTTCCAATAGCTCTCCTTCTTCCTTGAGGCTTCTCGTAAATCTTTCAGAGGACGCCTTGGAGTGCTCGGAATTTTGTTCATACTGCCGCTGGTGTTGCAGGCATCTCGATCGTCTGATGAGTTAAGAAGCATTTAATGATTGTTGGCATCTTTTGAACACAGGTCACTGTGAATAAGGCCAAAGGAGTATGGTTTATCTTCTCTTTTACCCGCTGCTGCACCTGTTTGTTTATAGCTGATCATAAATATGTTATATATTATTTCTAAACGCCTCCATTTTTGGCTGCATTTCTTACATAGCATTTGAAGCTCAGTACATTGTCCACCAACATTGGGCTCCTTGCAACAAAGGTTGTAATTTTCATTGATCATTATCTATCCAATAGCCTGCCAGATGAATTTTTTTACTACCCATTTTCTATTGAATACATCAGAACCATACCATTATATCAGCTTCTCAGTTGCCATTTCATCTACATGAGAGTTGATCCATTACCCCCGATTTTCATTGAAAAATTGGATAAGATTACAACAGAGATAACACAATATGAGATCCTGACTTCCTGCAGTTAAGTCTTGATATTTAGTAGCACCATAAACTGTCAATACAGAAATATGTAATATTTTTATTTATTATTAAGCAAAAGTACATAGGATTGAATGAAATAATTGTATTTTATAATGACACGACTGACACAATCTGTGACTGACACGTCGTTGCAAAATATTTGCGAAATGAGCAACTGTTTTTCCCCTTAAACGTATTCCATAGTACTAATGCTGATACCAGATTCATATTAAACTAAATCGAGAAATCTCCCGCCGAAGGCCCTAAAAACTAACCAGCTAGGTGCAAACCTACAGGTTTTACAAACAACTTCTGTTTTCATAGTTTAGTACCACATTTTTTGTTTCCTCAGACGTTACCTTTTCGAAAACACCTGGAACAAATATTTTGATTATTCTTCTATCTTCAATGACCTGATCCATAAATCTTTGGACAAAAGATTGAGTTTGTCTCCATCATTTTGGAGAATAGCCAAATTCCAAACGATGGGCATATTACTGTTACCCATCGATAAACAATCCATCACCGCACAAAGGGAGCCCTTTGAACAGTTCTTCACAAATAGCTAAATAACAGTAACCATTTCCAACAGATTTCGACTATTCACACCAAGGATTTACAGCTAATAGTTAATTTACAATGAGCTACACGTCACTCCGTTTGTTATCCCGGTCTGTCAATCCCCCAAAAAATTCCCCAAGTAAAAGTCCTCCAAATTTGAGGGCAAGTCTCCCAACATGGCAACCCTGTCAAAGCACCACTGGTACTCTAGGCGTCAAGTGTCGGGGTTGTTTTTTATTTTGACTGCACGATATACATGCTTTATCGGTTCTATTTTTCGAGCGTCACAACTGGTTGTCATTTTATTCAATCTTCGGTTAATTTGCTGTCAAGTTTTGAAAGTTTCTTATTTTCTTGTTGTTTTTCTGGCATTGTCTTGGCGGCGAATTTCTCCTGGTGTAGTTAGATACCTCAGTGGCGGATTCCGCGTCAATCGGTACTCTTTGGTACAAATCGAACTGATATGCCAATAGCGTTGCGTTTCGATATTTTACCTTTGTCGCGTATTTTTACCTTTTTATTAATTGAAGAGCTTGGGGCACATTGACTTTATTTCGAGAAATTTGACATTGTAAGATGTCTGTAAATCCTGAAATCACGTTTTTTTTGCTCTATCGAAGGTAGTGGATATGGTCAGAAATGAAGAAACGGTACTCTATTGACTTATAGAATCATTCTCGAACAAGTTGGAGCCATAAAGACATGGTTTCCCAGTTTTTGTTCTGGCCTCCACAGTTATCAGTAAAAACCACCAAGTGCTTAGTGAAAGATTTACCTTGTAAGTATTTTAGCATGATGCTTGCAATCTCTTCACTTTCCCTTATTGCAGTAGTTTCAGCCCACAAAAACATATTAGCTTTGCCACTGGCACAATCGTGTATGCTGAGGCTGTATGTCCAAGCCTTTCGTAAATAGAATGCAGGACCCACAGTTAGCGAAGGCGTGGGAAGAGTCTGCTGCAAATCAAAGGATATAACATCCTTAGTGGAATTTGTCGAATTGTCCGATACCTCTTTTTAATTTAGCCCTGCCTTCAATATTACGTTTTCTCCATCTAGATTTACAGGATGGATTACGGGCGGCTAACCTGAGGATCCTTCACGCCCTCGTGAAGTTTTATCTGTAACCCAAGATAAAAATGAACATAAGTACAATTTATTTAATATATAAGCAAATGAACCTATCCACTATCCGTGTTGCTCTCGTTTGAGAACTCACTAGTAGTAAACAACTTCATTCGCTCGGAGGGACATATCCCTGTATAAGCTTTTCTGGACCGTTGCGACCCAGGCATTTCCTCGACCATGTATAATCCACTGTGTTCAAGCTATGAAACCAGGTTTTTGCCATTCCTGATAACCGAGACTGCATGTTATATATATAGTTGTAGTTTCGTCCCAGCCGTTTACTAGTTTTAACTGTACAATTTTGTCTAACCACCTAATGGCAGACAAGCTTTTATTTTCCGGGTAAAATTCTGGAATACAATCACTGAAAACTACAAACCTGCGAGTCTCTTGAGTTCTATTTTGCCTCGACATGTTTTCGATCATCGCCTCCAACTTTTTAATTCTTTCATCAAAGGCTTGCTGTTCAGGAAATGCTTGTGTTGATGTTGAACACCCTGTATTTATGCTGCCTGCGCGTGCATCACTTATGTTGGATTGATTTTGTTCGTGTGACGACACATGAACTGCTGCTACCGACGAGCTAGGATGGCTTTCAGGTGACTTACGTAATTGTCTCCTTACCTTCGACCACCCTCGTTTAAGGGAGGTGTATGAGTCACACTACGCCTCCGATGTGCCCTACCGCATTTTCCACTCGCAGTTTTCCTAAGCCTTCCGCGTGACGGGGATCGCGAGGAGTCTCTACCAGAGCTACTTAGAATAGAACGGCGTCTTCTTCTGGGACTTCTACCCATTCTCACAATCACTTATACACTATATCTAAACTTTAAGGCTACAGTTTTTATCATAAATGTCTAATTTTATCAGAAATCACAACGTCTGTGTTACTCTTCGTAAATGAGTAGTAATACACTAAGAGAAACGCTAAATTCACCCACGCCTGAACTGTAATTAGGTTCACGCCACAAGGAAAGAAAATAAGGGCAGATGTGTATCGCAAGAGAATCTATTTCACACTGCCTGTTACAGCCCAAGGATCTACCTGACTCGACCCTTTTTTTGTTTATATCAGTCTCGAGATACATAAACATATAAACATGTTGATATTTCTGCTGTTGTCTAACAGGATGGATTACACATTACATCATCGTTTGACTCATGCTTCTTTCATTTGAACATAAGCTTAGTGAATGTGGCTTATGTCGCTTGTTACCCCAAGCCCTTCAATCAATACTCATAAATTTATAGCGCATAAGTATAAAATAAGGTTGAAGGTGGCTTTCTGTAGCAATATTGACCTTAAATAAAAATAAATAACCAATATCTGAATCACATGCATATTCCCTATTGATAATGCATATTTACATACAGTTTTCAGTTTTGATCCACACAGTATTTGGAATTCAAAACTATATTCTATTGAATGTATAATGCAGTTTCGACTGAAATGTCAATTAAATTATTCGGTATGTTTCTGGAGTCTACTAACCATTGAAGTAAGTTGATTTTGAAATATTTTATACAAATGAGTTCATTTTACCAGTCGAGCTGTAGGTATAGTGCGAAGTTATCAGACCGTTCATGCATGCATGCAAGTCAACTGGCACTCTGTAATAAGCGCTCACATGTTGAAAGTTTTTCCCTGAGTTAAATATCAGTCGTAATGTCCCCTCATTCCTTTCAACCTAGTTACGACCTACATTCGAAGGCGACAAAAAATATGACAACTAGTGATTCGGTTGTCATGTATGAAGGAATAAGCCATAAATTACGTCATTGCTGTTATGATTTCTGTTTATTTCCTAAAACAACCGACAGGAAAAGTACTTCTCAGATTGTATTAATTTGAAATCAATATGATATGTTATGAGCTGTCACATAGGTAGTAACCAAGTTGAGGGGAATCAGGGGAAATTACAACTGACATTTAAACTTGAGTAAGAATGATCAGCATGTAACTGCTTAATGTCGCATTACCACATGTTTGAATAACGGAAACATGATGATAATAATCCTCTAGTATGTCAGAATGTGTTTGTATCGAGGAAACCGAGAATTCATTCACATTCTAGGCTATGTTTAGAATCATCTCCTATCCCCTTCATACTGTAAATTCAGACCTGACACCACCACCATTGTCAAATAGTCATACTAGATAATGGTTAATTAATAATAATAGCGTTTTGTCTTGATAAAACTTGTGCAGTTTCCGTGTCTGATACGCTTTCCTAGTTCATACCAATGTTTCCCCCAAACGAGACATAGAGAGAGAGAAATCTGACTGCAAAAGCATGGTTGCATGCAAATCCACAAGCCAAAGGTGTGAAATGTGACACTATTGACAGTTAAGAACAAAAGCATAAAACACGATTCAGTGCAAAGAAGTGCAAAAGAAAATGCTGTAATACTGCTTCCGTCCGTCTGTCTTACCAACCATCTTCAACTGTTTCATGCTTGTCAAATCCTTAGCATGGTGTAGGTCGGACAGCGAACAAGAGCAGACCAACAGTAACTTCTATGAGAGGTTTATTCGATAGAAATACGACAGTACAAGTGTCATCTATCATCAGAATCGCCCACTGCTAAGTGAATAGCAACTATTATTTGGCACTGTTAACGAATCTCAGTTCACTTTAGTAGCCTCCTCATCATTAGCATCGCTAGGTGCTACCGATACTGACAATAAAGTACATGTGATGTACTCACCAGTGGTCAATACTGGTAATGGATAGCACTTGTGCTGTCCTATTTATATCATTTTCAGGGCTGTGATAGAGATTCTTTTTGCCCTGCTTTCGTTCGTTGTCTCACCTGATGATTGCCAACAAACACGGTTGGTCGGATGGACGAAAGCAGTTATTACATAGCCATGAGAACATATTTAAGATATAATGTTGCTTAGCTACGTGCTGCTCTGATCTGGTTCACTAAAAATGACCATTCCGGAGAATCAGAAATTTATTGTTGAAAAGTACCGATTAGTTTTCAATGGTTATTTTTTAGAGAAATAATTTTATGTCGACTGAATACGATATTAATCTTATGGTTATGAAGAGTTGTTTTCAAATGCTATAAAATCGAGAGGGGGATACCGGTTCTCTCGATACAGACACTGGTTATTTGACTCTGCTAGCTGTGCTACGGAGGTAATTAAAACTAAAGTGTCCTGTATAAAGTATCTGTAAATAATTCATATAATTCTGTATATATAATGTGAACGGAAGTTGCATAAAATAAACATTGACAAATACTACAGGTATTTTGATATTCACTTCTATTTTACGCCAAATATAGGTGTTTTCAAAAAGACTAGAAGAGAAGAAACGCAATTCTGTCATTAATTGGGTTTAATTGAAAAAATTGCTCAAGGCGTATGTGAAATATGGAGTCAACCTACTTGGAATAAATTTTTAGCTGACTGAATAAAATTTGCATGATTCTTTTTTTCATTCTTGTCTATATACATATACAATTTGGTGTTATGATGGCCCGGAAAACGAACGTAAAACGTAAAGGTATAATAAAAAATAATGGCTCAATTCTATTCAAAAGACAAATGAAATCAAAAATTGACGAAGTATGTTTATCTGTCTGCATTTATGAGAAAATTTGATCTCTTGAATTCTTCTAAATCGCGGCAGGATCATCGGGATGGATCGGCCGACAACGGAAGCGTTCGAGAAGTATCGATCGACATCTAGATAGGTTCGATGTAGAGCTGGAAGGTTCTGGATTGGCCTATTTTTGAACATAAATAGGCGCCAAGACGGCACAGAGACAGACATTGGACTTCAAATAGTAAAAACGGTGTTTTCGTTACAGTATCTAAAGTTTGTGTTTATAAACACATTGTATAGATGATGGACAAAACTTGAAACACATCTAAATAACGAAAAGCTATGTAATATTAGGCTCATTCTGCAAAGCTAACTGTCTCAAAGCTGTCAAAGTTGAGTGGTTTTTCGGACAAAATAATATGCCGTAGCCCCATCAGTAATAGCGATCCAAACCGTATAATACCCTATATCAAACTTCCTATTTTGAACTAAGATACGCAGTGTAGTCTATATAAAAAAATGTTTGTGTTCCCATGTAGTTTTGAATCACCCTGTATAGAGAACCACATTTTTGAAATAAGGAGCATGTAGATACAGATGCCTTCAAGATATGTAACTTTTTTAGGTATCTTCTAAATAACGGAGATATCGACCGATTACACTCTAAAATTTTAGCCTATGTATAAAAACTGCAGCGTTAGTCGAAACCATTTTAGGCGGGTGACACAGTTTCTTATCGTTAGTATAAGTGTAAGTGTATTAATATAGAAACAGATGACGAAAATGTCTTAGAAGATAAATCGAGTCATATCACGTATCAGAGAATTTTTATTTTTATCTTAGTAACATTAGACATTCCGTAGTATCGGGTACTTTTATTACATCATATAAAATTGTAAGTGTTACTATCAATTCTGCAAGTTCTGTTTTAGATAACCTCATACCCGTTTAGGCGGGGGGGAGGGGTTGAATGTTATTTTAGAAAAAGGCGGATAGCATTTGTTTGGCCGCATCGATTTTAATGATCTTAGTTTCTTATGAAATAGTATTCACCTGCGCTCCTAGTAAATGCTCAGTTTTGGCAGGTTAGTTCAGCTTGTAGCCGCTAGATCGCGCTTTGTGGATGTTTTTTATGCTTTCAAACATTTCAAATACAACGATATGATTTTTGGTTAAAACCGTAGATCACTTAGCACTAAGGGTGTGAATTATGATCTATCTCTTGTAATGTTATAGTGGATATTTCGTTTAAAAGGGAGAATTAAAAAATCTAGTGTGCCACGTCACGACATTCTAGATCAGAAGTAAAAGAATAAACTGATTTTTGAATGAATCTCTTTCTTAAAAGGTTTATGCTGTCCTAAAAGGGACCTATTAGATTTCCCAGCGATTTGGAGTACATACTTCCAGTCAAGTTATTGATGTCTGTTCACGTGTTCGAACTATTTTCCATCATTGTCAATACTTAGTTGCACCTTTCTACGCATTGAGTCCACATCAGACGGCATTCGGAATACCATTAATTATTCTCCATAAATAGAAATCTAGGCAAGTCAGGCCAGGAGATCAAAAAATGAAGAAGAAGAAATGAACTAAATAAAGTTTAATGTAAACTATGTTAGAATCGTGTTATATTGATACATTTTACACCGCTATTTCTAGCATAAATCTTTCTTCTTATCCAGCAGTACTTAACAATTGTGATTTGAGCATCTCCATAACAAATAAGACATGGATCTGCGGGTTCGCCATGTTGTAGTACTTCTTATGCATTTTCCTATCGATTTAAAAAAATTAATCGTATCCGCAATTTTCGAAAAAATAAAAAAAAAGGCTGACACATCCACAAAGCACCATCTAGCGGGCACAAACTGAACTACTCCTTAGGAGGGGAAGTGAACACTCTTTCAAACAAAATCAAGATCATCAAAATCGGTGCAGCCAAACAGAAGTTATGGCACTTTTTATGAAATGGCATTCACCCTTGTTCAGCCTAAACTAAACAAAATATGAGAAAATGACACAGACAAAAAAGTTCAGAAATTGAGCGGTCAACACGATGACTCTATTTAATGAGTATGTTAATTATGTATTTTTGCAAAATAATAGCTTCTAATTCATATTTCATGTTATTTATGGAGACGAATGTATTGTCTTTATAGCCTCGTCGACCTGAAATTTCGTAGAGGTTTTCGGTAGGATAGCGAAATTTAAGAGGGGGGCATATTGGGGCAATCCATCAAGGTTGATATTTTTTTAATAAATTGAAGATCACTAAATTTTTAATCGCCGACACTAGGATAGCAACGGATATCAATTTACTATCAGGTATCTCGCTAAACTTTATTGTCCGGCCAGATAACCGAGTACTAGCTATAGTATCCAGCAAAAGCCGAATAGTAATAAATTCTAAAAATATATGTAACTAATTTTTATTGCTAGAATCAGCCATTAGTCATCAGTTAACTTAAACAGTCAATGCTTCTTATTAGCTGACACTACATCAAAGATAAAGTAGAATGACAGATAAAATATTTTTTTATATAAAAAAAACAATTTAAGACTTTTTGTTTCTTGAACAGAATATTCCTGATATAACAGATCCAGAAAGATAACTCAGTGTCCTTTTCAGATGCTCAATATCCTGTAGTTTTGGGTTCATATAGTTGACAGCACATCCAATGTCTGGCCGAGTCTTGCATGAAAGATACATCGTACAATTTTATTATAAGGGAATTTGATTTCTGATTTACCTTGATGTTGTGGATAGTCTTGTTATGATATTGGTGTAGTCATTGGTTTGACATAATCCATGTCGTACAACTTCCTGAACATATTTTGGTTGAGATACAAGTATGCCATCTTTCTTGTGGCAAATTTGAGTTCCCGGATAGAACTGATTTGTAGAGGTTTTAAACTGTTTTTCCAACTTGGAGAAGAGTCCAATCATTTCCTTTTTATCTTCAACAAATTAATAAGTCTATCAGCCACATGAATTGTATTAAATAATTTCTTGCTAGAATTGACTGACTGAAAGACTGATCAGTTGTAAGTAGTTAATGGGTATTCTTCTGAGAGTAGAACATATTCTTCGTATATTCTAGGCATTTGTGTGTTACTTTTTGGCCTTTGTTGAGTTTAATTTAGTTGCTGATTTATTTCTTCAAGCATTTCAGTTGTTCCATATTCTTCTTTTTTAATTTCTTCATATTCTGATTCAGAATCATGATCTTCTTCATTTTCTTTCTCTGTAGTATTTTGATTTTTCTCACATGTTCGGGGTCTTCCTATACAAGCAAATTTTTAGTTTTCAGTTTCACTCTTGTCCATATTGTTATCTTATAGCCCTATAAATGTAACATCCTTTGAAACATAGCTATTTTGTCAATCTTAATCTCAAATCCTATAGCCAGTGCACAGCCTACAAACACTCCTTTTTTTTCTTCTAGGACCTAATTTTTTGAGGCGATCAAGATTCTTTGTATACACAACTGAGCAATGTACTTGCAATCCTGACAGATCAGGCCTCATGTTAAGCCATTATTTTGCAGGAGTAGTGTCAACAGTGACAGTTTTTTAGACTCATATAACAAAGCTCTAGTTTTATTCATTCTCTCTGCAATCCCACTTAACTTAGGGGTATGTGGAACAGAATAATCAATAATAATATCTTTTCCTTGCACCAATCCTTCACTGTATTTGAACTGTATCCACCGCCATTGCATATTCTAGTAAGTTTTGCTTGTAGACATATCTCACAGATAATATCGCTAGAACAGCTTCGCAATGAGTTTGGCACTACCCACACAAATTAGGGATTTTCGTCAAGTTAGAAAAATTAACGCACTTTATTTGTTATTCGTGCACTTCGTGTCAGTAAAGCCCCTTCATCACTTTGTTTGCAAGAATCTCTACTTCATAAAGCTCATTTTCAGTTTTATAACCACCCATAACTACTTTTTCTTTTGTTATTTGGACAAAATTTTCGGTGAGCTTCACTACCATTATCAGCAATAGCATGAACAGAGAGTAATTTTTTGATAACCCTGGCACATATGACACATTTTATAAAACGACATTTTCAGTCTCAATATCACCAGCTAAAATTGCATTCAAAGTTGCACCTTCTTTAGCACTATACATCTTCACTGGTTTCACTTTCAGCAATGAACTTGTTATCATTTTATTTAGCTTCGACGACATGCATAATCTTGAATTTGATCATCATCTTGCTTTTTATTTGATGAGTAAGCATAGAAAGCAACCCTTTTTCTTCATTGTCTTTCCTTATTTTCGTTTTTTTATTTGAAATAGCACCTATTTCTACCATTGGAAAGGTATTCATCATATCATCTAATTTGTTTTTAAATCAATTTGAATATGCCCTATATTGTTTTTGTTTGTTTTATCACCTTTGAAAGTTAAAATTAAACCGACAAAAAATGTAAATTGTTGGTTAGACTACAGTTATTCAGTTAGATAATATTAAACGACTAATATTTGGTGGTCGTTGAAAGATCACAAAAAATTTGACTATGCTCTTTGTAATAATGAAACTATTTTGTAGTGCCACAACTGAATATATGGATATGGATCAATCCTCATAAGACCTACTTGTTGATATCCCAGATAAAGATTTGGAAATGTTCAAAAATGTAGAACAACCATATA